CGGTATTTAGACTGAAACATAACACAAATACAGCTATAATAACCGTACTTTTTATTCGGGGGAAGAGTAGCAAATAGAACGGGAAAAGTCGTCTTTTAGTAGAAAAAGAGAGAAAAAAGGAAAGAGGGGGAACAGGGTTGGGAGTAGTGGTAGGTAGGTAGTGAAGGTGAATTGAAAGAATTATAAGGATGATGAAAGATTTGAGAGAAGAATATAGCTTAGTTAAAAAAAAAAAAAAAAAAGGAAGGATTAGAGGGATGATGAAAGATATGACAAAAAAAAAAAAAAAAAAAAAGTGAAGATGAAGGAAAAGGAAGACTATGGCTAACCGTCTTCAGCCAAATGGAACACACTCCTGGGGCCAAGTCCCACTATTGGATGTGAAGGTTTTGGTCCGCCCATGGTGGGACTTTGGATCCGGCCATGAAGGACTGCAGAAGATCGCAAGGAGAGAAAATGAAGTCGGCATGGTATGTAAAATAGTGATTTAAACGCTGTCATTCATTGGTGGACGATTTTTTTTTTTTGGTTTTCATTCCTCGCATGGTGTGGGGTATGCAAGGAATGGAAACCCCATGGCTCGACAGATGGCATGCGCATCCTCAGGCCGTCACCCCAACAGGAAAATGCTGTCCCCACACTGACTAGTGCAGACTCTGAGGTGGATTGTGTCGGCTCTTGCAGAGGGCTCGATCTCCTGTCATTGCTCTTTGGGGGTGGCATTGAGTCGACCTGGCCAAGACCCTCACCCGCCAACTGCCTCAGTATGCCAAACACGATTTTCTTTTTCTTTTTCCTTCTCGTCACTGCACCCTGCAGTGCAAGGAACCAAAACTTTTCATGCCGTAGTGGGACTTGGCCCCTGGCAGTACGTGAACTGGCCATGGCTATTCTAGAATATTATTTTCCCAGAGGGAATTTTTATGCTGTCAAGGTAGAATTTTGGAAAGTATATTTTAGGAATGGGGCTTTGGACCCAGTTTCCAATATTGTGCCCTTTTAGCTGGCTACCGCTGCCAGGGTTGAATGGTGAGGTCCCTGCTGGGGCCAAGTCCCACTAGCAGCGTAGCTCAACGCCTGAATGTGGACGTGTTTGTGGAGACGTGGAGTTCAGGAAACTCAACACCATTTCTGCACATCTCCGCAAAAGCGTCCAGATTCAGGCGTTGAGGTAGCTCAACGCTGCTAGTGGGACTTGGCCCCGGGCCTCTTCCTATGATTTTTTGCAATCAAAGTTCAGACCTTTCCCCCCCCCAAAAAAAAAAAAAAAAGAAAGCACTGCATCTGGTGGATCTTCCTATGATTTTTTGGAATCGAAGTTCAGATCTGTTTCCAAAAAAAAAAAAAAAAGAATAAAGAACACCGGGTCATTATCACTGCATCTGGAGTGAAGCTCTCCCCAAATACGGCTATAATGACTAAAATGGCCGTGAGTTGTATTCGGGTGAAGGCCGTAGTCAAGGTGGAGAGTGACGACAAAATGCAGTGTGGTCATGTCCATGCGCTCATGCCATGTTCTTTTTTTTTTTTTTTTTTTTTTTTTTTTTTGAATGCAACATAAAAATTCCATCACGTAATTGGAATCGAGGCCTGGGGCGTGGTCCCACTAGAAAAGAGGATCGGATCGAATGCCTGTGCACTCACACTTCGATTATTCACACTTGTCTTGCATGCAAACAGCGATACAGCAACTGGCGACATGCGCCCTGACAGTACTTAAGATATCGTAACCAGATATGAGTTCTCTTCAACTGGCTATGGCGACTGGGCGCCCACACAACTCACTGTTCGCACTCTGGATCACCCTGGACGTCCCACACGCAACACTCAGTATCATACGCAACACACACACAGGCTATGCTACAGCTATGGCAGCGCTAGCTGCCACTACCTATCGCTACACTACACTTCTCTGCCCACTTCGTCTTCGGGCACACTGCAGACCTCCTCGCACAAGCTGCTAAGGCAGCGCTTCCGCATGGCATCCSCAGGAATGAATGAATGGCTGGACGCAGCCTCTTGATTTATACTTCTGCGCTGCGTTGGTCTGCCCTGTATTCCTGGCCCATGGTGCACACAGTCCCCCCCGTGGTACTTGCTGGACCGGACTGGTACTTTCTAGACTCTCCCATGACTGCATGGCGACTACCCTACGACGCAGTGCAGTTGCACTGGGGTCCTACTATTTGCCCTTGCCACTTGTCCTCGTCTCCAACATGGGCTTGCTTTAGTCACACCACTTGCCCACTTGCCTGCACCACTTGACCACTTGCCAACCTTCTAGAAGGACTGCAGCTAGCCTTCTAATCTACAGGTCTACGGATCGAATCCTGGCTACCTATAGACCTACGACAGACCTACCTACCACTGGCGGTTCTACAGGTCGCAGGTTCAACTCTTCGAGTTGACGCAGGTATTGTACACAGGTGAGTTGGGGAACTAGGGATCGAGCCCTGGGATCTGCCTCAGCTACCACGAATTGGTGAATACCGTTTCACCTGAATCTGGACGAGGTTATGGAGAGTCGTGGAGATGTGCAGGAAATGGAGATTGAGCTGCTTTTCTGCATCTCTGCGTAAAACACATCCAGATTCAGGAGCTCGACCCTATCCTTTTTGCTAGTGGGACCTCGGCCCTGGAGAACCTCACAAACAACCCGGGGCCAAGTCCCACTAGCAGCGTTGAGTTTCCTCAAGGCCCGAATCTGGACGTGTTTTTGGAGATGTGCAGTTGAGTAAACTCGAGGGCATTTTCTTCACATCTCCACAAACACGTCCAGATTCGGGCCTTGAGGAAACTCGACACTGCTTGTGAGAATGCCGTGAAGCTTCAGAGGCATTGGAAAATGCAACCCCGAGAGGGATATCGCAAGGGACTTTTCCAAAAAAAAAAAAAAAAAAAAAAAGTGGAAAAAAAAAAAAAAAAAAACATAGAGAAAGATGACTACCTGAATGCTGTCCTCTTGCTGTGAACGCAACGCACCCTTATTACTACTGTATCGAACAGGAAAGATAGCTTGTATGCATCCATAATTATGAGCGTGCCTTGTGTTCAAGATAGCTTGTATATATGCACTCATAATTACGAGGGTGGCTTGTGTTTCAGGGGAAGACGGTAGCAGAAACAGCAGGTTCAAACGGACATCTTATCCAAATGGGAACGAACAAAGGAAAATGTTCAATTTCTCTCAGATAAAGCAGAAATCCAAAGACACTTTCGTATTTTCAGTCGGAATTGGTTGGGCGGAAACCAGAGACGAAGAATTGGGTGTGTCACTTGGAATGGGGCTGAGAATGAAGATGTTGCTGGTTTGAAAAGAGATTACAAGCTGGTTTTTGATGACTGGACTTCCATTGATGCTTCAATTCCCATGCGCCCTTTGTCTGAATTCCCAGCTCCTTTCCCTCCTCCTGCAACAGCCCTGGTTCCAAGCTCCTGGTATGGATTATAGAGTTAACACTGCTAGTTTACACAGGTTATCTGGCGTCCAGATAAGGGATGAAGAGGTAGTGTTACTTTTCCAGTTTCTGTTGGTAGGAGAAGTGTGTTGGTAGCAGAAGTGTGGATATTTTCTTTCAAATCTTCCCATCATCATTATCATCAGGTTCTCAGCAATTTCGGCTTGGTTACTCCGGGAAGACTGTGAGGACCCCGGCCTCAATCTTTTCTATTGGTAATATCAGCCTTGGGCACTGGGCCCGTTAAAAAAAAAAAAAAAAAAAGAGCTAGAAGGGAACATGGCCAAAAAACAAAAAAAAGGAAGAAGGGAATAAGGAAGGCAGTTTGATCCAGAGGCCTACAGTCTTCCCCCGTACGGTCATTAAAGCTGTATCTAGACTGAAAGATGCCTCAAATAGAGCTATAATGACCGTGCGCTGTATTCGGGGGAAGACTGTAGCTCAGTTGGTAAGGCATGCAAGTGGCATTCAGGAGGTCTTGGATTCAATCCCCATTGTCCTCATGTACCTTCCTGGGCATGCTTGGCGCCCGCCACCTAGAGATATGTCATTGGTCCCCCCAATTGGCATTAAAAAGCAATCTCTGCTATGTTCATAGGGGGAGGGGACCGGAGGGAAGGCACAGTGAGTGTCCCATCGACGATGCTCAGTCCTGATGCTACCGGCTGACCCCTGGCCGATGTGGCCCACCTGCTGTAGCATTTATCATACCTGCTGGTGGGTGCAGCTACCGCATGTTCCCTCATTGGAGGCTTGAGCACAGATGTGGCTGCTACGGGGTTCCCATAATACTATAATGACCAGGGTAACCGGCGTTAGCAAAAAAAGCAATTCAAAAAAATCGCAAAAAAAGATATGTTATGGAGAAAACTAAAATAAACAACACACACAATACCTTTCTCGGCCTTTTGGCTAAGATCAAGTGTAGTATCTGTTCTGATCAGTTTAATATCTGATCTGTGGTCCATCGGGCCACATTTAAAAAAAAATAATAAACAACATTTGCCTGAGCATTACATTCAAATTCCTTACCAATTTTGAAATAGAAATAAAAATTATAAAATACAAAAAATAGAACTAATAATAAAAATAAGCTAAAATAAAAACTTAAAAAAAGAGAAATAAAATTAGTGAGTGAGCGAGCACGTTTACGACACCACCATCTTTGGCGATTCTTTTTTTCTTTTTTTGGCAGATCCAAATGCCCTGAAAATTTACAGATGTCTACTTCACATAATACAAAACACATCAAAAAAAGTTTCAAAAAATAATAAAATTGTTTAGGCCCCGAAATAAAGTGAAAACGAAAGTAAAAAGTGAAAACAAAAATAAAATAGTGAGTGGGCGAGCACATTTTGACACGGCCATCTTTGGCGGATTTTAATTTTTGTTTGGCTTAGCCAAACGACTTCAAAATAGGTATGTACTCCACATCATAGAGAACTCACAAAAAAAAATCAGAAAACAAAACTTGTTTTCAGGCCCCAAAATAATTTTTGGCGGGGGCTGAATGCCGTCACGTTCGGACCCCGTACGGGACCCCGAACTCCCGTACGTATGGAGGTCGACCCGGGGACCTCCGTATGTCCAGATTTGACAGGTATGAATTGAATTGGTTGGGCTTACAAGAATTAGCCTTAAAAAAAAAAGAAAAAAAAAAGAATGCAGTTGGTCATTTTTTTTTATTGTGTTCGGGCCAAGACACTTCCTTGAACCTTCGTTTTTGTTTCTCCTGATGAGCGGAGTGTGGTTATCCATAAAACCACCCCCATTTAAAAACTACGCGTGACGTAGTACAGAGGATAATTGGACTGAATGCCTGAATCTGGACCTCTTTGTGGCCAGGGGATGGATCTGATTTTCCGGATCTCTGTGCGGAATACGTCTAGATGCGAGCGCTTAAAATGCATTGCCAATCCTCAGTCTTTGCAAGTGGATTTCAAGGTGTGCGTAACGCTGTGGATTTCAAGGTGTATCTTCATCTCTCGGTTCTCATGCAGTAGCTGTCTTTGCTGGACAGTCTTTCCTTTTTCCTCTTTGCTAGTGGGACCTCGCCCCAGCTGACAGAACCAACATAAGAACCAGAAGTTTAACTTAATTAATAATGAGGGAGATAGATGCTGGAGCCATTTTCCAGTACTAGGTGATGCTCCCCACTAACAGATTGGAGCCTCCCCCCGGGATGCTAGTGGTGTCTGCTCTTTATCAACAGATTCAGCACCACTAGCACCACAGAGGGTGTTAGATACTTCCTGCCAAGGAACAGGTGAAGGGTTCAAATCCCCTTAAAAAAAAGACAAAACAATAATGCTGGAAGGCTACCGTAGCAGGAATATCAAGTTATTAACATCAGAGATTCTGCTCTCTAGGATGGTTACTCACGTTCACCTGAACAGACTTCACAGTCATTATCGCTGTTACAGTACATAGAGTATTATAGACAGAAAGTTGCCCCAAATACATCCATAATGACGGTACTTTGTATTTAATTTAGGAGAAAGGCCGTATTAGGAGGAAGGCCGCCGCAGTAGCGGCTCGGTGGCTGGATGGCGCACATGACCTGAATTGTTACGGAACAGATGAAGAGTTCATCATATGTTAATGAATACCCTACTCATGGGCCTAATGTTAGGTGCTAAGATGAAGAGATCAGATCTTGCTCGATACGATAATGTGTAGGAGCTAAGCCTCTTCCTACCGTCTTCCCCCGAACATAACGCACCCTAAAAATGAATGTATACAAGCTATATTTCCGGCCAGATACAGCCAAAATAAGGGTGCGTTATGTTTGGGGGAAGACGGTAGTAGACTAGTGTCCTTGATGTGGTTCACCTGTGAAGGAGTGTGTGAGAGTGTTGGACTTAGACACTACAACAAAAAAACACTCTAGCAGAAAAAGCTCTGTGGTGCTCTTGAGGACCAGCACCCTGAGAATTGTGCTGGCTCTGAAAGGTGTACTCACACTTAGCGCACCAGCACTTTCCTAAATGTAACTGATTGCAAATACAGCCACACCTCTCTGTATCTGACTGCAATCATGTCCAGAGCTCAGTACATAAGAAGTCCTACTGGTACTAGTCTGAGTACACATCAAATGTGGATGAAAGCTCAGTGAATCCAAGACATCGGACCTCACTCCACTACTTTCCAGAGTCTCCACTGCACAGAAGACAAAAAATAATATGACCATGTATCTTTCCATGTTTGTAGCGGAAGATTCGTCCATTCTCATGTTGCACAATTTGGAGAGCAGTGAAGCGAGGGCCATTGTTCTGCTGAAGCATGCCTGCATAACAGCGGCATTCAGACTTTGTTGACGTCATCGTTTAACATGTTGCGTCTGCAACTTGTCTGTTGTGAACTTTATGTTTCTTGTCCTTGCAGGTAAAAAGCCAGGCAACTGTTACAGTGTTTTGAACTTCTCTCTCTCTCTCTCTCTCTCTCTCTCTCTCTCTCTCTCTCTCTCTCTCTCTCTCTCTCTCTCTCTCTCTCTCCCTTCCTATCACTCTTTTAATTGGAGGAATCGACGAGGATCAGATCTCAAGTGGCCGCATCGAAATGGGGAAGCGTGCTGTCCTCGTTGGCTGCAATTACCCCGGCACGGACTTTGAGCTTGGTGGAAGCGTAAATGACGTGAAGATTGTCAAGGAGATGCTGATTGAGACATACGGATTTAAAGAAGAGGTACGCAGTGTGAAGAGTCGACACTGACAGAGCTGTATAGTTCTTTTGTTTCTTTTTCGTGTTTTGTTTTTTTTTTCCATTTTGTTCCCCTTGAATTGTTATCTCGAAGGCAATAAAAATAGAGACTGGTTTAACAGAATCACATTCTGGTAATTTAAACTGACATCACCCCAAATATTGACCTAAACATTATGGTAATTTAAACTGACATCATCCCAAATAATGACCTAAAACGTTTTCTTAAAAATCAGAACAGAAAACAAAAGAATCACATTATGGTGATGATTGCGCCGATGATTACGGTAATTTGCCCATGGTGTTGCAGGTTTTTCTTTGTTTTCCTCCTTTTGGAAGCCTACCGTCTTCTCCCGAACACAACAACGCACCCACATTTGTACTGTAGCTGGTCGGAAACATATCTTGTATACGTTCATTTTCAGGGCGCGTTATGTTCGGGGGAAGACGGTAGTAGGGCGTAGACTTTCCAATCCATCTGGAAACGATCATCATGATCATGATCATTGTGTTATTGCCTACCTACCTTCTTCATCTGAATACAACATACGTCGTATGCTACGTTGCGACTCGTACTCACCCCCGTACGAGTACAAGTTGTACTCATTTCGTGTACGCTACTCGTACTCAAGGCCCGTACGAGTTTTTTTCATTTTTTTTTACTGTAGCTGTATTGACTGGCGTACGTGGTATTTGGGGGAAGAAGGTAGGGTAGACATCACAGAAAGTGGTGATCTTCCAGTGTTCCACAGACACTGGCAGCTAAAATTTGGTTCTTTCTTTAACTCTCTTTTCAAAGTTCTTCTCATCCTTCCCTCAGGGTACTTCTTCGCCCTCGTATGTGTTTTATGGAAGGAGGTGAGACTTACTACCACCTGATTGGGGTCGCATTCCCAACTTGACTTTTGCGACAACGTCTCTTTGCGCTGCAGTGACTGTGTGGCTAAAAATTTTATGTGCCCCCTCCTCCTTCCCTTCCGCACCCCCC